TTAGCTCCGTGTGACTTCTTCCTCTTCCCAAAGATGAAAATTCAGCTAAAGGGAAGGAGATTTGAGACGATAGAAGAGATTTAGGCAGAATCGCAGATGGTGCTTGACAGGCTGACAAAGAAAGATTTGCAGGGATGCTTCCAGGCTTGGCAGCGGCGCTGGGATCGTTGTGTTCACTCCCAGGGGAACTACTTCGAGGGTGATGGATGAATTTAATACCTGAGATAAGTTTACGGGTTTTTATAGGCGCAGTCTAGAAACTTTCCGATCGCACCTCGTATGATTAGCTGTAACTCGTCTTCTACTAAGGAGATTGTTGGTTCGATTCTCAACAGGGGTATGCGTTTACGTTTGACACGAGGACATTTAAGAACCAACAAACCAACCATGCAGCTGCAATCCTCCTGTTCCAGGAAAGGAGACTTCAATTAAGACATGGTAAATTATACCATAACGCGAGAAGGTTGTAGTGCCGTGTAGTCTGACAGAAGTTTACCAATGTTTCAGAGGTCCTTGCTGCTTCTATTACCAGATCCCTGTGATGATGGAGGCATGAAGGACCTTTGAAACGTTGGTAAACATCTACCAAACTACACGGCGCTACAATCCAGAAGACAGCCATCTTTGATCTCACCGCCGTAAAAACGTCAAATCCTACATTCCATAACATGTACGAACATTCATTACTGTAAAACATCCAAGCATTGTTTAATTTCGCTGAAGAACTGTAATAGATTAATGTTTGATAGTTCTTAATAGGGCTGTGGAGTCGGGACTAAAATCTCCGACTCCGACTCCTTCATAAAAGCTTAATATGTGTTATTAAGGGTAAACGTACTAAAATGGTAAATGGCGCCATAAGAGATTTTCTCACCACCACGTGAATCATCAGCCTACTTTTTAGACTTATAACATATATTTAAACGTACGTCTAATGTTTATTGCAGAAAAGATTAGTAGACAGTCTGTATTCTTAAGGTACCGGAGCAAAAGTTACAAAGAATTATTCCCACACCACGTGGCTCAACGCGTCGTTGAATCTCCCTAAGTGTTAGGCCGCCGGCAGCTCACACGGTATAGAAATTGTTCTTAAGATTTTATATCGAGGTCGGAGTCGGAGAAGGTACATTTCTACCGACTCCGACTCCACAGTCCTGGTTCTTAACATTTCATCTTACCCATTGTGCATCTGGCTGCACCATGTGTTGTACCAATTTCTCCCCCTAGCAGGATTCTTGGTGTTAAATTTACGTAGAACAAAGAGACCGTGATTTTGTACAAAACTGTAGTGTCCTTCAGATTGGTCAGGAAGCCACAATAAAAGAGTCTTCTAATGATGCCCTCTTTGTCTTTAGGCTCCAACAGAGCGGTGTTCAATGTTTTCATTCAACTGCTTTTACGCTCATGTAATTGTTTAATGACGCGTGAGACAGAAGAATAGGTTGCACAATATCTAAACAGGGAAAGGCAAAATGACAGACCTTGAAAAAGAAAAAGAAATACCAGATTTACTCATAACTATGAATGCCTGTATGTTTAAGTAAGAAGCAATTCTGAAGTCGCTAGCAGAATTTGAATTAGCGGTATCAGGTATATTCGAAATAGAAGTTCATGACAACCACATTTAAGGGGGTTAATAATACTTACTTCTGTACACGGATTTTGCACTGATGTTAATGTTGAATGTAGTATAGTTCAATCTATTTAGAGTCCTTAGTAGTGTAAAACTTCAGAATTTCACGTTTGACGCCAAAATATGAACAAGAATAAAATAAGGAAGGAGACTCATAGGAGCCCTCAACCCAATATTATGGGACAAAAACACCACAAAAAGAACGAAAGTGAGAATATATAAATCGATGATACAAAGCGTGGCTCTATATGGAGCAGAAATTTGGCAACTTTCGGAACAACAAAAAAAGATTTCCTAAGAAGAGCGGCTGGAATATCCAGGAGAGAGAGAGTGAGAAATCATGAGGGCGGACAGAGATATAATTGAAGAGATAGAGAAAAGACAACTGATTTGATATGGACACGTGCAAAGGATGGAGGAGGAAAGGTTACCAAAAAAGACTATGGAATGACAACCAAAAGAGAGAAGGAAGGCCGAGACCAGGATGAAACGACGGAATTACAAGAACCATGATAGAGTGGAAACTACCTCCGGAAGGATGGGAAAATAGAGAAGAATGGAAGAAATTATTGGGCACCGGAAGACCGAAGTAACGGTCAAGAAACGGAAGAAGAAGAATAAGAAGCGTAGGAAAACGAAAGATTGTGACAGTCAGTGGCTGGGATCTAAACGGAGTCGAAATGGAATGTCGATGGTTACGTTGACGTCTAATGCCTCGAAAATGTATACTAAAATCTTGAGTACATGAAGATACTCAATCTTGGGAACCCTACTTAATGCTACTCTTGGTTATCACAATGCCCCAATTCATTCTGAGTGACTTTTCAGTGTAATCTACCAGGATGTCACTAGAATTTTGTCTAGAGAATGTTTTAGTCTGTTGTAGTAAGCAAGTCATTTATTTCTGCGAGTCATGTTGCTTTTGGCGAATCAGGAAACCACGACCCACGTGTAATTGACTTTCTAGCTTCAGATGATTAGTTGCTTACATGACCATTTTACTTCATAAACGTACAAATTTCTACCTGCGTTAAAATATTTAACGTTCCTTTCTTCCACAAAAGGAAAGAGGAAAAAACAAAATTAATACATTTAAAAATTACATAAACAGATTCTTTAGCCCTGAAAGGGATATTGCACTCTTCTGCGATTATTTTCTCGGCGAAATTCCACGGCAAGTCGTTCTCAACTGTTTTTCAGTGTTACTTCCCCACTCCATTTCGTAGCTGCGTGCCATTGGTGGTTTCGGGGAATGCTGTCTTAATACAGGTGTCCCAAAAAGATGTATACACCATTCAACAAACGAAATATAGACATTTTAATAAACTAAACCATTACATACAGCAGCATTGTCATTTGGTGAATCAGCGAATCTAGTGTAGGTGTTCGAAATGATCACCGTTAGGTTCCTTCGTAAACACAACACATGGAGATTGATAACAAGGTCAAGATTACGTATTATGTGTTTATACCTTTTTTGGAACATTCTGTAGATATTCTGGATGGCGTTGATTAATTGTAAGTGTTCATTTACGTCATTGAATGCAAATGATCTTTTTATATGTTTAGAAGTGGAGTAAAAATTTAATTCCATTTTTATTTTATTATTTAAATTGTAATTGCATCTCGGTATAATGAGGATTTTTGTGTGCCCTGTAAGATTTGTATTTGTCACTGGTCTTGATAATTTTTTATAAGTACGAATTTACTGTTACCATATACTATACTCCATAGTTATTACATATTGTTCTATCGTTAACCAAGTTAATGAAACGAACGTAGTGGCCGAGTGGTTAGCTCTCCTGCTCGATATTCGGGTGGTACCGTGTTCAATATTAGCCAGCAGATAGGACATCTTAAGACTGGTTGTGGTTTTCCTCAGATCATCCAGGAAAATGCTGGGATTATATCTTAAATAAGAAGACGACCTATTCATTTATACGCTTTCCAGTTCACTACTCATTAAAAAGGCTGTTATTCGACGCTTATAGCGTGGGCTACTGACAGCGTCACTAAAAAGCCACACGCAAAA